ATTCGAGTAGAGGAAGTCGGCGAAGCCGCTGCAGGGGAGGCGTGTCATCACATTGCCTGTAGAGGTCGTCCAGTCGATTTTGCCCTCTTCTAGGTGAGCGTCGGTCGTATCCATGAGGGTCGGTCTTCAATGTCATCTAGTCCGTCCGCGACCAGAGAATGCGCGAACGCCGAGAATACAGTCTATCGACGAGGACAGGCTGCAGATACGTCAGGCTGCCAAGCAGCGGGGTTCAGGCTGCCGCTGAGACATAAAGTGAGTGGCTTACACAAGGCTGGTGGGACCAGCCAATGGACCATGTCATTCCCATTCTGGAGCTCATGTAATACTGGAATTTGGGCTCTAGTAATGCATTGAAACAAAAATGTTGGTGACGTCTAATACAGCATGTAAACGAGAGAAGCTCTTGTCCGCTCGGACTAGTCATGTGTTCCGACTATGCGAACCATCCGAGGTCATCACAACGCCACCGTCTCGATCTACCCCGCCACACTGGCTTCGCCACATATGTAACAAGCAGATGTGGCTGCAATTGCCCCCGAGTATCTGTCAACACGCTTCGTAGACCGGTCGAAGAATTCGCATGCCACAGCGTGAGCAGTGCAGAACTTCAAAGGCCACCGTGATCATGTGGACCAACTCGATCTTGTGACTCCACGTCGCCGGCTCCGCTTCCTTTGGAACGGTTAGTTCAGCCCGTGCTCGCCGTTGCCTTCGCATGGGTGTCGCAAAACATACCTTTACGGTTGAATCTACAAAACTTGCGATACTCGAAGAAGAGATTCGCAGATGCGATGGTAATGGTGATCGTCCCATAAGCGACGCCAAAGATGGTGTTGGCACTGAGGCCGCTATCGGAGGTTGCGCCAGGACAGCTCATTGTGAGGGATCAGAGGGCAGGGGTTAGTAGGATGTGGTCATTGGGTGAGAACGAGCTCGCAGTCTTTTGATAAGAAGACGATGGACTTTAACAATGCGAATTCAAGCACAGTACATACCGGATGTGGCCAGCTCTTACTGATGTGGCTGTTGAGTACATGCACTGCACCCAGGTAACTTTGCAGTTCTTGTGTTTCTCGTCATAATTTCGCGAAGTTCGACATATGCTATTATTCGACCACACATATGCGCATGTATGGCTGTTTAACGTTGCCTTTGCCGTTCACTACCTGTACTCGGTCGGCAGGTCTGCGACTTCTACTCGACTGAGACGTCTACATGAAGTTATAGTGACACGTCGTTGGCCCTAAAGCCCCGGCATAGGCCTTCGCAAATTGTGCAAGATTATGCGTGCGTTCGTGGGTCGTGTGACTGGGTCGCATGGTAGCGTGTATGCGAAGGTCAGCGTTTGGCCAGGATACGGGGGTCTTAGATCGGAGACGCCACCAACCTAAACGACCTTCCCAGGTTGGAAATGGGATGGATGGCCCCTTGCTTTGGCGCGCCGCGCTACACCGCTTCTTTATTCCAATGCGCGCGATCACTTAATTGAGCGAACGCACAACAGCAATCTGAGCAAGATCACGCAGCATCGCACTGTACCTGCGCACCTAGCCACGTTCTAGAATTGTGCACAAGTACCCTCACAAGCAGCCCGACCATATGATCGACCAGCAACCTGGATGCTGAGATCGATAGATCCGGCAGAAGTACAACCGGCACTCTTTCCGTTCACCGGCGTCCTGTGCGCCCCTTGTGTTGCACAGCAAGCCGCGGATCGTTGAAACTGTCAAAATTCGATGCCCGGGTCAAGCGAGAAACAATATCGCGCTGGACTTACCTCGCTTGCGAGCCTCGACCTGGAAACATTCACGGAAGGCTGCTGCATCCTCGAGCGACCTGCAGTGCGACGGCTGTCAGACCAGTTTCGCAATCAGCATCAGCTAGCGTGTATACAAGGCCACGAACATGCCTACCCCAGCCATCGTGCAGTGCGTGCCCACTGTTTCACTTGCCGATGCCCGCCTCCACACGCCCAGGCGCCTGCCAGCCCTAGTGCCCGTTCCCGGCCCACGATCTCATGAGACAAGGCGATAACCCGATCAACACCATCAAGCATCTTGTGGGCTTCGCGCTGGAACTTGCAGTCTTTTCGCGATGAACTTTGGGTGTGTACATTAGTGGGCTGGTAAGTCGCCACCATCAGGCATCTGGGCAGTCTTCATGCTGGCAGGTCGAGATATTAGAACCCGTATCTTCAAAAAAATTCGCCTTGCGAAATGGAAGCATACTGATTGCGGTATGCGTGAACGCTCGAACTTCTCACAGTCGCAACGTGTATCTCTGTACATCTAGGCTTTTTCGCTGCCATTCCGAACAGCGCAAAGAGGCTCGACCAGCTATCTGACCAGCCCGCCCCTTTTCAGTTACTATGTCATCGACTGTCCCCCTTGGACGCACATACTGGTGCAGAACCTCGCGATTGGGATAGATCCATCGCTATCGCGGGTTGATTCAGTCATGTCCATGCAATTGGCAGACAGGTACGGGCCGCGTCACTGCGCATCACTGCGGATCACCGCGCATCACCGCGCATCACATATGTGCTGACCATTCCTGCAAAGGAAAGAAGTGGGGTCAACTACCAAATTTGTGAACTCAACAACGGTCGCGAACAGTGCTTCCTTTCTACTTCCTCCTGAAGCAGTGTTTCTGAGCGCTAGATTGTTTTCGGGGTGATCTCCACATCAGGAAAGCGCTGATTCCAAGCCAGCAGGCGCAACGTCGCTTACGCAGCACGGTTTTAGGCATTGATCGTCATCGACCTCGAATCCACAAGGAACAAAGTTGACGCTACAGTGAAGCTGGAACGGCTGAACGGCTGAACGGTGGCCGGCGCCTCCTCCCACCTGGTTTCCAAGACGATCGGCTCGCGACGAAGGCCGCTTATGATTCGCCCAGACTGCGCCAAGCTGACACGGCAATCTCAATCAAAGCTCGAGACATGCCGCTGATGAGATAGTCTGATACACATTTCCCGAGCGCGATCGATACTCCGTGGGAGACCACGAAGCTATCTGCGTGGTGCCGCCACCCTCATGCTACCCTTAGCTGCCTGCGGTCTCGCCTGTACAAGCGACCACATGATGTGTCCGCACCCAATGCTTATACTGGCGCACGTCCCATCTGACCCCCAGAAGGGATCCAAACAAACACACAGGCAAGGTACCCATAGCTTTTGAGCGGCGCAACTCGAGAAGTCGCAACAACCATTCCGTACTCGTTCATGATGTCTACAGACTAGTCTTCATGATGTTCTGAGGGGGCTTCTCAAGCATTGTCCAACCTCATAGTTGAGTGCGGAAAGAGTTATGCCGCTGCAGGAGCAACATGGTCTCAAGAAAGCAAGCGATTGTTCGATGGCTGGCAGAATCTCAAATATGCTAGCTTCGGAAATTTCTTGAAACGTCTTTCTTTCTCGGAACGAGAGCAATCATGCGGTGCAAGCTGATGGGTGTCCGCCTGAAGATCAGTCACCGATTCTCGATACGTCTCTATACATATGCATACCGTGCACGGTATTCTTTGGTAGACACGGCACTTGGTGGAGACTTCTTACATGTGCCACAAAGACGTCGGGGATGGACTCCAACGACTCAGAGATTGCAGTCCCTGCTCATTCTGCCGGCTTTCGACATTTCGTTCCTCCCTAGGCCAGTGTCACATTGAATGATATACTGCTGCGGGACTTGCCTAATCGTGCTATTTGCATGATCTAGAGGCCATCCTAGGACGTCTCCGGTCGTGTGCTGTATCGAGTATAAGTATACCTCCTCGCATCCCTCACCAAGCAACTTCTACACTTAACACTCATTCACTACTATCAATCATTCTTACACTCGCTTTCGTTGTTGCTTCAAAAGCCCGACGCTCCTTCAGAAACTGCACACTTGGATCATTTACGTACCCCTCATTTAAGAACCGCTGACTCTTTGCGGCATGTCGTCTCCATCAGATACCCGCAGACGGCTCAACGCGACCCCCTTCGTTGTGGAATGCACCTTCGCCCGAGATTGCGCCTGCTCCCGGAAGGGATACACGAAGACCGGTTGGTTAAAAGCCCATCTCGAGAGGTTTCATTCGCACGCTCTTGGTTTGCAGGACGTACCTACTTGTTCTGATTGCAGGAAGATATTTGCTAGTACGCCACACTTAATCGACCATATCATCAAAAACCACACACGCGCGCGCACGTCACCCTCATCACCATCCACTGTCCCTGCTCGCACTTCATCAGCCGGCTCAAGTCCCTCGGTACATTCACTCAACAACTGGCGCATTGGCTTCCACGGTCCGGTAATGGCTATTCAGCAAACTTCTGCCGATGTCGTTGACGGAAGACAAACTTTCAACGAGGGCGCATCCCGGCTGTGGGATGGAGAGCCTCCGAACTCAGCCATACAAGGGTTGAACACCCCAATGCCAATGCTTTACGCTCCTCCGACTGGAATCCACGGATACATCCATACGCCAGGACCAGAATTTCTACCCCAACCACAGGCGCGCCGCGACACCGAGATCGAATTCCCGGGCTACGTCGATCGTCACGTCCAAAACGGCCAGCCGGGGCAACCCCCACAAGGTTGGATGGGACGGCAGTAAAGCTCCGAGTAGGGGCTTGCTGGCCACTGTGGGCAGTGTCGACCCATATACGAAAGAATGACCAATCTCAACACTTGCGAACAAGGGAACACAACACGTTAGCTTGTCGATGAAGTCACGTTACTGTACATGGAAGGATTAGCAGGGTTGCGCTATGTGCTAGTGGAGTAATATCTATGTTTCTTTTGTTTTCGGGTTTCTCTTCTCTAATGCTTCATGATTGGCTTTGTTCTTACGTCCCCAGCCTTTTGTCTCTTTCATGACTCTCTTTAGTCCGTACAAGTCCATGGTGACACCAAAAGTTCTTGGAAATGAAATCGATATGACCAACTCATTGTGGTGTACTCCTCAACTCCGGATTGATATCATCATCTCGCCATGTCTCCAGAAGGAGAGACTCACTGCGCCTTCTTTGCCTTCGCTTGCCCACCCCTAAACCCCATACCATACACATACACCAAGCTACCACCGAGATACGCCGCGAACATGGTCGCCGGCAGCGCAATGACACTGCTAATCAGAATGTTGGTATCGCTCGGCATCATGCCGGGGTTGCTTCTGCGCGTCCACCAGTTGAACGCCGCACCCAGCACCGTCACATCGTTGATAACAGCGTGCAACGCGCCGACCTGTGCCTTCTTCGACTTCAAGCCGTCGCGCTTGACTAGTGGTATGAACTCGTACATTCCGGTCGCGACCGCCGGGGCGGAGAAGAGGAGCGTGAGGAGCGTGGTATAGTACGAGAGAAGGGGGAAGATGGACGGGTCTATGGCGATGTCGAAGGTCTTGACTGGGGGTTTGTTAGATGTGTCTGGCAGGATTGGGGAGGGTGGAGGTGGAGGGCTTACAGGTTGAGGCCACGGCGCCGGAGGTCGGCGCATACTTGGAGAGGAAGTAGACTGCATCCAGAGCACCTGTGAGAAAGGTGGTGGTGATGGGGAAGTGCACTGTGGCTGGGTGTGTTGGGTGGCTCATCGTGATGTTTGTAGATGGCGGATTGCAATTGCGGATGTTTTTACTGGGCGAGGAGCGGAGGGAAGCGATATTTCACGTCGCAGGCAGATAAACTACCTGCGCCGCAACTACAGCGGAGAGCCGGACGCCTCGTGCCCCGTGCAAACGCGCAAACATCTTCGGCTTACGCTGTGTCGTCATGGATTCCGGACTCAGAGGGGCGTGCCGCGATGGGGTGGACAAACACGCGTGGAGCTCGCGTGGGGCGGGCGGATCTCGGGAGAGGCCCGTCAGCTCCTTCCCCGGGTCTGTGATTGGTCAGCTACGGCAGTTTGGGTACTCCGACTCGGACTCCCGACCAACAACACGCTCTTTCAATCTGGACGCTGCATTTCCTTACCATAGTAAGTCACCGCTCAATTTGTGCGCTCTCAAACAATGCTGTTCGGTGCTCCGTCTTGGTGAGAACGGTGCGGAAGGGTCGGAAGCGGAGTACAAGCGTTGCTTCACCGTGTTCCTCACATTCATCTGGACAGGTTGCATCTCCACTCGTCATCTCGTCCCATCGCATTCTTGTCAGAACACTTGGGTATCAAGTCTTATATTCCCCTCAATTACATTATTAGATCTCGTTTCGCTTCCATGCCGTTGAAGCGAGACCAGCATGACGCTTGTTCTGCGACGCGACTGACGATGAGCAAGTGAGTGCACACAGTGTAGTGCGAGAAGATGTATCCTCGACAAGTTCCTAAACCCCTAAACCCATCTCGGTCGCAGTACCGACAAAACCAAACAACAAGCTCACAAGGCTACAACATTTGTTGCTGTTGCCTATCGCGCGATGGAGACCGGTTGCATATATGCACATGTGTCCTTTACTACCTGCCCTTCATAAATGCGCCGTTTGCCATGACTTTGCTATTGGAATCTCTCCAACACCAACTCCAGAGTTGACGCGACATCATGAAGACGAAAGCTCCATCTCAACAGCTACAGTCGCGCCTTCTGAGCCTTCCCCGGGAACTCCGCGATGAGATCTACACCTATTACCTACAAGAGCCTGGAGGTTATGTTCACTCTCCCATCACCAACAAGCTTCGTCATTCGAATGGACAGACTATTGACTTTGGTCTGATGTGGACCTGCAAGATGGTAGCCAGCGAGATGCGAGATCTGCCGCTCAAGGTGAATGAAGTGGTCTTTAGGCCCTTTCAAGAGATCAAGGCTTCGAAGGAGGGGTCTGACATCTGGGATGCGTGGTCTCAGGCAGGGAAGTACGACTTCTTGTTAGGGCGGCTTCATCTTTTGCAGGAGGAGATCTTTGCACTTGCGGCAACAACACAATGTAAGTCGACTCGTGGTTAAAGTAGACCTCTACCTAAGCTGATTATACTAACTGCGTTGTTACAGCTCCCAAACAGCACATGGTATATGTCTTGAACCAGTATCCAAACAGCTGCATTGGCGATATGCTCGGACGCATCATGAAAAGAAAAAATGACATCTATGTACCTCTTGCAGCTGTCGTGGGTAGCGCACAGTCGCTGACCTTTCATGATCGCGATGTGCTGCAAGATGGCCTCTTGGGATTGACTTCGTACGCCAACTTTGTTGAACAAGTCAGATCGCAAGGCTGGTGCTTGGATGTTCTCGGTTTCATAACTACACATGGACCAGGCAAGCGTGGTGTTCGTCTAATCTCAATGGACAGGAGATGGTTAGTCCAAGGTCGTGTCGCAAAAGAGTCAATCTTCAGACGCGACCGTGCCCACATACGCTCCGCCGCAGAGCTGAGCGCCGAACGACTCAATGAGATGCGCTCGACAATCGCTAATACCCAGTGGCGACCCTGGATTCTACCTACAGACGAGCAGATCATCACAGTGCGCGATTTGTTCGAAACGTCAAATTCCATCGGGTGGCCCAACTACAAAGATGAACTGCCGGATCTCCGATACTTCCAATCAGCCGCATCACAAGCTATTCGTTTTCTGGACGCACTACAGCCTCATTATCGCAAACAAATGCGAAGTATGAAGATTCTGGAAGAAGAGAAGTGTGTGGCTCTTCCAGAATGCCACCTACGGGGCCTGTTCCACTTTCTCGACGAAATCCCCGCGCTGTCGGTGGTCAGACACGTCGACCTTTGGCACTGCGTGTAAGTGACCCAAGTAGCCCGACTCACTGCATCGCGTGCTAATCAAAGGGTAGATTTCCGCATGATTATGGGAGACTGGCACTGATGATCACAAACGATAGGCTCGACCAATTCTGGACCGAGTGTAGGGTTCAAGATGCCGTGCTTCGCACAATCACTTGGATCAACGAAGCGACAAGCCTTTCTTGGGATAGAACCGGCCGCCTATCCGTCAAGACCCATTTCGTTGGTCCTTACGACACTGTGCAGCTCATCTGGAATAGAGTCAAAGCTGTCGCAGCATTGTACTCGGCAGCTGTGGTCTGTACGCGCGACCAATGCAATCCATTTCCAACACGAGACGATCTGGCACTGGCTTTCGCACATGAAGACGATGCCGCTTTCAGCAACCCGGAATTGCTTCCAGTATCGGTGCAACAAATCCTCTCGGACGACTCTCTCGTGAAGTTTCCGTGCATCACGGGTACCCTGGACGAATTCGAGGAAGAATGCGAGTATGTCTATTCCTTATTGAGGGGCAGACCGAAAGAAGAATGGGAGTTGCACTGGAAGAGAACCCTAGAGGGTGTGATTGAGGAAGAAGGAGTGGACTTCAAGACCGTACAATCCAGGTACGCAGATCATCACCCCAGCTTTGACTAAGAGCCATTTCCTACCTGCCCGATCCTGTACCGCTCGTCAACATGCTATTATCTATAGATCAGTTTGCATGTCGCACAGTAGACATAGATGAAAAGATTATGACGATTAATGGTATTGTCTATTGCTAGTATTGCAAGCTCAAGTATGGGTATCTACACCTAACACTCTCCGATGTTGCACTAATACGAGAAGTACCTTGCATCAGGCACCGGCGCACGATCCAACTTGAAGTACCCCGGCTGCAGCTTCTGGAACACTTCCTTCGGATCATACTTGCTCGCGATACTCTTCATCTTGCTCTTGCTGTCCGACCCGTAACTTGCAATGACGTCCTGGAACATCGCTGCGTAGTTCATATACACCCAGTCATTTTGCACACCCAGCTTCACCGCGTCGCTCTTGATCGCCTTCATGATATCCGACATGACCTGGTATACTGTATCGTCATCTGCGGCGTTGTTCCAGGAGCATGCTAGCTGGATGATGTGGATCGGGCTGCCGTCGGCATCGAAGCCCATCGCGCTGCCGCCATTGCGGGTGCTGCCTTTGAGCGAACCGTCGGTGATGTGCTGCCAGATGAGGACAGGATATGCGCCCTCGACCGCGGAAAGAGCGCCGATCGATTCGTAGAAGATGTTCACAGAACTTTGGGCGATCTCGTAGGAGGCCTTGGCTGAGATAACATAATAAACCTCACGAAGCCCATATTTGTTAGTAGCTTCGTTGTCAATCACATAAGAAGCATGGCCTCGCGTTTTCGTGCTATCCACCACGGCGTTGATGTTGTAGAAAGGTGCGAGGATAGCCGACTCGTTACCAGCCGGTGCGCCGTACCAGAGTTCAGTTGAAGCAAGCTTTGCGCCCTTATCCAACCAGGCAACCCAGCTACCGGCCTTGGGGTCTTGGGCCGAGTTGAACGTGAGGTCTACCCACGCCTTGATTACATCTGGAAATTTGTCTTCTGTGAAAGTGCGGGTTCCTCCCCATATCTGGTCGTTGTTGAGGGGTTTTGTCGTCAGGTTGAAGCTGGTTACGATGCCGAAGTTGTTGCCGCCACCGCGAAGGGCCCAGTAGAGGTCTGGGAAGGTCGCTGGGCTTGCCGTAACCATGACGCCGCTTGCCGTGACAACCTGATTACTGTTAGAAGAGCACTATCTCGTGGGATTGCGCAGCAAACTTACATCAAAACTAGCGACGTTGTCGCAAGCTAGACCGTACTCATTTGTGAGGAACGATATGCCGCCACCAAGGGTGAGTCCGCCAACCCCAATATCACCAATTCGTCCAGACACGACTGTGACGCCAGTGGTCGACAAATCGGTAAGCACACTACCCCATACATTCCCTGGTTGCACTGCGACGGTCTTCTTATCTTCTGAAAGCTCGATGCCCTTCATGTTCTCGAAAGATACAGTGATACCTCCCTCGATAGTAGCTGCGCCGGCGAACGCACTGTGACCACCTGACTTGACGGCAAACGGACATTGTGATAGCCGAGACAGAAGCACCACTACCGAAACAGCGGCCGGGCTCGAGGGCTTGAAGATGCAGTATGGCCTGACCTCAGCCGAGATTCCAGACCAGAAGCTGGATGTGAACGCGGAGTAGCCGGCCTCATCCTGGAACTCTACAGATCTGTTGCCGTAGACGACCTCCAGCGAAGAACACTGTTTGTGGTTTAGCTTCCGCTCTGAGCTACTTGCTTGAAGATACTCACGGCGATGTTGCAGGCCAGGTTGGATGACCGACCTACAAGGCCGGCTAGCTCTGGCAATGCGGAGACATTGACACCTTGATCAAGAAGAGCCTCGGTGACGCTGAAGTCTGCAGGCTCAAAAACCTGAGATACCACGGACGAGAGCAATGTCGCAAAGGGGAACAGCAGCCGCATGATGACCGGTTTGGGGATCAGAAGAGACTACAGGATTCTCAAGGAAGGAAGCGCGAAGACCGTCTTTATAGATGCACAGCGGCTTTGGATTATCTATCTCATTTTTAAAGGCCCACGTGAAGAGCGTCAAACCGCGCAAACGAACCTGAGCTGCTGCATGCCCAAGAGCCAGCGCAGGGGTCGGGTCGGTTGTAGCCTAGCCCTCTGCACGCGTGCCGTACCGCATGCCTAGTGGTGAGATTCTTCCCGTCGAGCCGCGGAGAAGAGATTGGGTCTGGTTGTTTGCCATGAATCTGCGAGATGATGTCTAGGAGGTGGAAGGTATGCCAGGTGGCTCCTCGGTATCGGACGCGTTTGACCAACGACGAGCATGTCGAGCAAGACTCCTCGTTCGTTCGTCGCGGGATATTGCGTATGAATGTACCGTACGTAGATACAGCTACGCCGCGATGCTGCAGTTGACTGAGATTACATCGATCCTTTAACAGGGTCGGGTGTAGGGCGGCAGCCACTCCAGGGCTGGCGGCATCAACGGCTTCCCCGCCACTACGCTGATTTCGTACATAGCGCCGCAAAGTTCGCGCCCGCCCTTCTTTTTACCGGCCAACCCATCCCACACTTCGACGTAGTGCTACTGAGGTACCGCGCAAGCCAAGTAGATGGCGATGTCTTCGCGACAGTCACGAATCAGTCGAAAGCACCCCGGAACAAACTCCCGTTTTGATACAAGTTCATATGCAATGGCGCACTACCTAGGTAATGAAGATGGCAGCGATTGAACAATTTATAATAATTATATACAAGGAAACGGGGTGGGTCAACACTAGGAGAACAAAAGGGTACAGCTTGCAAAAGCAAGACCATACTTGCCAAGCTGAAGAAGTATGAACTCTCACGGAGAGAACATCTACTTGTAAAGGAAAGTGACCATGGAATGTGCGGGCACGCTGTTTCCGGTCATCGCATCAAGCCCGTGGCTCTCGTTGGTGATGAATGCGGAAGCTTTGCCCGAGACACCAGTGATACTGACGGTCGCTGCCGACGCGCCAGTGTTCAAGACCTGCACAGCGACTGAGCCGTCGGTGTTCTTAAAAGCAGATGTCTTGAGCGTGCTAGTCCTGCCACCAGCGCTGATGCGAACAGCACCAGGCTTGACGAAGCGGCTCCACTGTGCCATAGCCCAGAAGCGCTTGGAAGGCGCAACGACTCCACCATGGATGTCGATAAGAACCGAGTTGGTAGGGTTAGTTCCAGCGTCCTCAGCGCCTTCCCAGTAGAGGTATGCCGAGAAGTTTGCGTCGACGAGAGCAGTGTAGATCTTGCTGGCCCAGGTCTGACCTTCGCCAGCACCGCCGTTGGTGTAATAGCTGGCTGTCCACTTGCCGCTGAGATCCGCAGTCTCAGTCATCCACATGTGCTTGGAAGTAGCGAAGGGGGCTGTGGGGTCGGAGGTGTAACCGTGGGTGGTAACGACGTCGTACAGGGAATCGACTGCAGCGAGTCCTGGAAGCATGGCCTTCTGAGCGTTGTACCCGGTGGCGTCGCAGCAGGTGAGCTTCACCTTCAGACCAGAGGCCTTAACGGTTGGGGCGAGAACTTTGATGAAGTCGGCGGCCTGTTGACCAGTTGATCGCATAGAGGAGTAGGCGGTGCTGTAATCTGTTCGTAGCCGCTTTTGAGCGAAGACGTGTGAAGTACTTACGTGTAGTCAGGCTCGTTCAAGAAGCCGAGATGAGTCACGTCAATACCCTCCTGCTTGTAGTATTTGACATATTGTGTGAGGTAGTTGGCGTAAGCTTGGGTCCAGTTGCCGCAGGACGTGCCATCGACACCGCAAAGGCTTCCTCCCTGGAGCAAGTTAGCTATCGCTTGCAATCCCCGTTTGAGTGGTTGTACTTACGTTTGAGTCTTTACCATTCGTCTTCATGAACCCAGGAGCAGACCAAGCATCGGCATAGATGGTCTTGAGGCCGCGGGCCTGCGCTTGCTTTGTCAACCAAACCTGGTTGTTGTCGGAGCCATCCCACTGGTACTTTGGTGTTCCAGTGGGCGATCCAGGGCTGTTGGGCTCAATAGAGAAGCCGCTGGATGGACCAGATCCGATGCCGTTGCGCAAGATGTTAAAGCCAGCGCCAGTGGTAGGATCGAAGAGAAGATCGAGGGTCTGCTTCTGAGCAGCAGCTGCCAGAGACTTGATGTTTCCAGCGCGACCGTAGAACTCAGAGATACCGAAACCGTCAATCGTTTGGAAGGTCTTACTGGAGTCCACGGCAATGGTTACTGCCTGACGGGGATCGAGACTTGGAGCAGAGAAAGCAACATTGGAAGAAGCGAGGAAATAGGCCAGCTTGGACAGCATCTTGTCGTTTTCGCCTTGGCGAGAATGGATACGACGGGTAAAGCGTGGGATGTGAAATGAAGTCAATCAAGCAAAACTGAACAACAGACCAGTGCTTAAAGAATGAAAGCCAAGGATTGATAGTGGAGCATTACGGGCAATGGACAGGAGATGTATATACTACCTCTCGCAGTCGTCCATGGATCTCGCATTCGCAACAGGCTCGCATTCGTAAAACGCATTGCAAGAGAACAATCTAGAGTAGGCCCGAGATGGCACGGCCTGCCAAATGATGTCTTTTATTCGGCCTCCATTGCGACACGAGGTTTTCCCGTCGAGGCGTCGCGATTGCAGGTACTGAGGGCGCATGGGTGGAAGACGCCTAGGTAGATGTGAAGAAATGACAGGTGTTGCTAGTCGCGCTGTCTAGACGTCCTAGGGCATGGTGGCGTAGCGCTTGTGTTGTAGATAGACAAGGCTTGATGATCCTTTACGAAGCTTAGCAAGGCTTGGCCTTCTTAGCCGGTGGTGCAAAGTGAATGCACGGAACGTGCGGGGAGAACTACGTGTCCCATGCGCGAGCACCGCATGAATCCACCAGTATGAGGCGGCGTTCTAAATGAGTTATCCCGCTCATTATTACTGTTTCGGAAAATGTGTTTCGTTTCATAGGTCTGGCATGGACGAAGAGCCTTGAGTAGAATTTCGCCGTGTGTCACGTGGTTCGATCGGCAACGATTGCTTCCGAGATCCCGAAGGCTGCACGATCTT